AATTATAAAGCTGTAACATTTCATAATTCAGGACACACTCAAAAACTAGGAAAAATAGCTACAAGAGCCTAAATAAAAAAAAAGCATTTATTCCATTTTTGACAGCTTAATGAATGCTCTACTCTTTTGCATTGATTTTTGTGTGTGTCGGCGTGTGTGCCTGCGTGCCCAGGAAGGATTTCTCATGGGGTTTGCTGTACACAAGGAAAGCTAAATCCTCTGCCAATGCTTTTTTTTTTTTTTCCCCTTTATGTTTAAATAACCTTCATATTAAAACATTTCAGGAGAGAATAAATAGCAAGAATACAAAGAACAGCTACTTACATCCCAGTAAGCATACTGGAAAGTCACAGAACAAGACATTAAGCAGTCAGCTCCCTTGAAGCCACCCAGTGACAGGAGTAGTGTCTGCTAATTCCTATTTGCAGAAAGTAACAGCAAATTCCAAGAGCAAGGTCAACAACCAAAAAAACCCTAAAAATTTTAAATTCATGACTGATTCAAGAACAAACATTTTCCTCACACACCTAAAGGCTCATCTTGAAAGGCAAAATATGTAAGCAGAGAAGTCTGCAAGCACCTAAAGATAGAAAGCAATGCATCTTAAGGAGATCTGTGCCACTTAGAATTTCTAAATAAATATTCTGGCCGCTTGCATCTCCTCTTTAATGTCTTCCCTAGTTTTTAACATAATGCACTACGTATGATTTAAATGGAGATTAATTCTTCCATTTAAAATGCTTTAAAATAATTCTGCATATGATCTTGAGATCTCAGGCCAGCTCTCCATAGTGCCTCCCTTCCAGTTTTCCTTGAGCTACATAAATGGAACTGACAGATCACTGCTCAGATAGCAGCCACGTTCTTCCCCCAAAATGTTGCCTTTTTGCTATTCAGGAGTATCCTACTACCAACAAATGCTAAATGCAGTCTGACATGTACCCCTAAGAAACAAACTTGTAAGTTGCGGCTTCAAAGAAAACCTTGAATAAATAGGACACATTGTGTACACCCAGGCTAACATCCAACATATGCTTTAGTTTCCCGATGCTGAGACAGAGCAAGAATAGCCTCTGGTAAAGCCTCTGATTTGCTATTGCTGGTACTTCCAACATTTATGATGTACCATCTTTTTTTGCCTGTATAAACAATTTTAAAAAATGTAATTAAGACGACCGTGGCAACACTGCAGAATACAAAATATTCGTGAATAATGGATCACTTGACACGCCACTGGTTTGATCAACAATTACAGAAAAAAAGCAAAGAGCATCGCTGCTTCTTGTCTTTGCAAGGCAGCACTGCCACCAATACGAAGATCACTGGAGAGGTGGTTTTATCAAAATAAAAAGTAACCCACATAATGAGCAGTTTAAATTCTTCCCTTTGGTGGTGGCAATCAACATGCCCAACAGCAAGATGCTGCTAGCTGGGGCTATTTACAGCTACAGATACAGAGATGCTACAATAGAGACAGGAATTATGATAGAGGCAGGAACACAAGAATGAGATAAGAATTTTATTTATTACTTACACAGGAAAACATGGATGGAGAGGAAAGACACGGCCTATTTTAAGATTCAAGTGTTTTGAGGGTTGTTTTTTCTTTTTTTTCCCCCCATTACTTAATGCTTTTATTCATGACTAATTCTGGTGAAAGAATTAAAATGAACGTAATTCAACCATATCTTTCCCCTCTCCACTTTAAGTGGAATTTCCACTCCCTTCTGCACTCCATTCCTTTGGACTTGTTAAAATTCCAATTAATAGATTTACAATGTAGTGTGCTGGCTGACTCGTGTTGACAGAGCACAAGTTAATTGATCAAGATAAACGAATTAACGCTTCACAGAGTAACGTGAGCCCACACAGACCATGGACCATAGGCTGACCAGTGGAGAAATACCATGGCACACATCTACCTGTCAGTTTTCATTCTGGAATGGGGCACCTTAAGAACTGACATAATGCTGTCATTCTCGCTTTACCCTGCACACACACAGCTCAAAGCTGCATCACTCCTCTGATGACACCTCTGTCTTTCAGAAGCTCCTCTGCATTCAGCTGAGGCTTTAAGGAGCTGCACAATTTGGTTGGTGCTGATGTTAACTGCCAGTAGCATTTCCCTAAGTTCTGCAAAAGAGCAGTGTGTAACCTGATCTATAGCAGCCCACAGCTTTAAGAGAAAAGCAAAGCAAAGCCAAGCCAGTAACACGAGCACAAATTTCACTAGCAGCAAAACTTAACACCTGCTTTTGAGATCTCACCCCATCATCCTGGAAGTCCTGCCAGCATCACAATGCTGGAACAGCTACCCAGAGGCTGTGGATGCCCCGTCCATCCCTGGAGGCGTTCAAGGCCAGGTTGGATGGGGCCCTGGGCAGGTATGAAATGTGGAGGTTGGTGGCCCTGCCTGCAGTGGGAGGATTGGAGCTTTGTGATCCTTGAGGTCCCACCCAACCCAATTGTTCTATGATCTCTGCCCACCAGCTGTGCACTGTACTGCTGCACAGATGTTTGCCACTGAAAGACCACGAGGCATCTTGGCACTGAATGTTTATACCTATTGCAACACCATTTAAAACAATTATTCCAAGAAATTTAGAGATTATCTTTAAGGTTATCTTGTAACTGTGTACTTTTAGAGTGCTGGAGTTGTACAGAACCATGATATGTCCAAATCATCTATTTCATCAGGAACGATTTCAATAGATTATAGATTATCGATTCCCAAGCCATAGTGCTCTTTTGAGAAACTAATTACAGTGTAATTCATTGTTCTTATGAACTCCTGGGATCTCTTAACAGCCTAAGAGAAGGAATAGCTTATAATAATGAAAAAAATAAGCCTGAATTACTTGTGTGTTATTTACAGCAGCTCTCATTATGGCACGTGAAGGTTGTCATTTCTTTCATTTGAAACAGTTAAAATGCCACAAAACCCCATTAAAGAAATCTTGTTTTTGAATAACCACTTATTTCCTTTGTATCTTACATAAAAAGAAGTAAATTTTTACTTCTCTCAGAAGAATCTAAGTCCATCTTTTAACTCTCACTGCATTCCCAAACAAGAACCTATGCACATGAGCATCCCTGTCTATTTTCCACTCCACTGGCCCCTGTGTCAGACAGCTCACAATCACCAGCACACACTTGTGCCAGAGGCCTCGCTAATATTACCCAAGCCAGCATGTTTCAAGAGGCCCTCCTACTTCTTCCCACTACAAAAGCCCCCATTGATAAGCTGATGAATAGTATAAATCAAGTTCTAAAAAGAGAAAAGTACAGCCTCTGTCATCAATTTTGTGTGAAGACATTCCTGGTTTCCAGAAGGTCAGAAAGCAACAGCTCCAGGTAAAAACTAAGTAGAACTGTGCCACTACCGAGGCGTGCCAGCATTTAAGCCATTTATCCATAGGAGGGCTCCTCCTGGCCTGCAAGGAATCCGGGGCCTTCTTGTCCTCCTATCCTTAACACACTTCTGTTTTGGTATTACCAAAATGGCCTCATTATTGAGAAAGTTTTAGGAGAACTTTGTCTTTTGGAAGCAAAATAAGATAAATGGAAAACAGGGAATAAACAGTCCAACTAAACATGCTACAAAACAGCATACAAGTCTGCTGCAAAATAAAAATGCTCTATCTTCTAGATATGCTATCAGAACCCAGTGCATCAAGAAAGCAGTTGTAACAGTATACTCTATTCCAACTCCAGTGCTTTCCAGCATTTAGAATTCATACAAAATGCAGTAACTAAGAACACTGGAGTTCTGACAGTTCAGGGATACAACTTGCATAATGGTAGAAAGCACTGAGATGTCACAGTTTGGATAAAACTCAAGACACCTGTGACCCAACACAAGTGCTAATATTCTGGACAAGCAAGACTTCTAGGTAGTCCTATGCCAAGGAAACCAACTGATCCTTTACCAGTTTTGTTTCAGACTGCCTCCAATACCTGCAGACACTGATGGGACAAAGTCAGGGACTCTGCTCAGAAGACCCACTGTGGCACCTATTGCTGTGACACCCTGCTAGGGACTTACCACTGCTTGTTTCACAGAACAAAATAAGGAGACTTACCAGCATTCTTGCATTACAAATATGAATGACGCTCTTGAGTAAGCACAGACACTTTTGAACACAAAAACTGCTTTTTCAAGACAAATGCAGCTTTCTGCAAGTGTTCTGATGCATCTGTTCTCTCTAAGGCTGACTGTGTATGTACATTATACAAAAACATAACAGAATCCATCGTAACCAACAGTCTTAATAACAACTCAAGCTGGAGGCAACTTTTTCTTCATGTGATTCTGTAACTCTACTCAAAGGTGTTTTGGCAGAAATCTTAAGTTTGAAATTCTTTCCAAACCAGAAGTACTACAGTAAACTATCAGAATGACCACAATTGCTTGACATGTAATAACTTGGAAAATGTATTCAGTCTGAGAAGAATTCAGAGCAAATGCTTGCAAGTAGTGCTACACAGACAATGCTTTATACTGGGGACATAACTTCCTTTCAAACAAAGGCAAAGTCTGAAGTAAACACAGGATTTGGAAATCCAACAAGATATGACTTAGCTGATCAGGAGTAGCTTTTATTGCTCTATCAGTCGTGAGGATGTCCAACTTAAAACAGGCTGAGCAGCAAGTACCACACATGTAGAGTATTTGCAGCAGGAAGAGCCTTGCCTCTCCAGCAAAGCAAAAATCATGCACAGCTGAAAAGTTGTTGGGAATCACCAGAACACCAGGAGGCTTTCACATATCACTACAACTACTAGCTGTAAAAACAAACATATCCTCTTCTACATCCCATAAACTACTGTAGTGAGCAATGGAAGCATCAGTTCGATAGATATAAATTAAGATGCAAACTGAATCCTTCAAGTCATTCTTCCCTTTGGAGAGTCAATGTAGCTGATGTACACGTGTTCCTTCCTTCCCCCTCTCCCCAGATATAGAACAATGCAGTAAGAGTCACATAAAGAGAACATACCATCATAATAGACAATAGCTCCAACAAGCTTGTCTTTGCGCAGCATTGGGAAGTGCTCCAAGGCTCTCGACTTGCTGAGGACATAACTTCTTTTTAGACACTGACTTCCTGCCACAAGGTCATACAGTTTTATTCCAATCCAGTAATATGGCAACTGCCACCATCTGCAAGAAAAAAATAATTTAACTTCGTGGGAAGTTAACAAGTGAAAGCTCACACTTCTTGGCATACTTCTCATAACCCAGCATGCTGCGTTGTGCTGGTTTTACTTCTGTACTATTGAACAAGTTCACAGCATCACGTGAAGTAAACGTTCAAAAAGCTACGTATTGTTTGCTATTTTCAGCTGGTCTCCTCTCTGCAGGAAGTCAACTAAATTCAGTACTTGTTTTTTTCCAGAATTCAGACTACTGTCTTCTTACTTCAGCCTAAGATGAGGAATCAAAGCTGAGCATTGAAGGAAGAACCAGACTGCTTCAGCACGTGCATCTGAGGAGTCAAGATAAGCTGGAAGAGCTAATGTCTCTTACACGAGACCAAATAAATGTAGCCCACTGCTGACCTATGTGAGCTCCAGCTATTACAGGCCTGCTCTGTAGGACAGGAATATGGCCACACATTAGGAAGATTCATCAAAAGCTCACTGCTTTGAGTAGCCTGTTCTACTGAACAACTGTCCTTACAGAACTAAAAACCTAACCCAAATCACTTAAAGTCTTCCTCAGGAGGAAGAAACTGTCCTCTTAACACTGAAGTGCCAGGTACGGTGGAAGGCAAAGCACTAAATTACTGACAGCCACCAGTGTTCTGTGCAGGACTACACAGTACATTTTGAAGAAAATGATAATAGCATGCACTGAAGACAAGGATGTACTGGAAAGAACAGTAAATAATATTCTGGGAATTATGAGTTCATTCCAGCTGCAAATTCCCCTCCTCTACACCAACTGTAATGGGTAAAATGCACCAAGAAGTTGGAGTCCAAGAGGTACTACTGGCAGCAGTGATATTAGGCTCATCCACGTGGGCAGTTCATGCTTCTACAACACTGCAACATCTCACCTCTGGGAAGACAAGAAGGTTGTGACAGATATAAAGACACGACTGGGAAAAGGCATCTGGAAACTTCTCCAGGGAAATACCCTGCTTGTCGAAGGACGTGCTAAAGGAGAGATATGATAGTAGAGCTTACTTGTAAACAGGCAGCATGATAGGCAAAGGAGCTGATAGGTGAGGAGCTATTTCAAGTAGGTTTGCACGCTCCTGGAGTGCTTCTTTCACCATCTTGTACTGAAAAAAATAAGTATACATGAATTTCAAGTTACCCAATTTTTGCCCCAAAATGCAACATTTGAAGAGAAAATTGTTCATCAGTGCAAATATCTCACATAAAACTTCCTGTTTGCTCAGAAGCACATTAGGATCCACTGGAAAAAAATAGATCAGAAATTAAGGAAAATACTTTTGTAGCAAGTTAAGCTGAAGTGGACTCTCTTTGGAATCTTGGCTGGTTAGTTGACCAATTTTCCATTTAAACTTAACGCGGTGCTGCTAACCAGGAGCAGGAGGCCATAGGGGAAGTTCAGAGCACATCCCAAGGTATTGCTTCGGTGCAGACTCCTACATTTAAATCCCATAGAACTGAGCTGCAAACGCAGAAATGTTCCTCTCCAAATCAGTGATATCAATCAATACCAAGTTGTTCTTGGGAAAGAAAAAAAAAAAAAGATGGTGATTTCTACAGGTGGGTAATTGTGCTTCTGGTTTTATTCATCTCTGAGAGGTCACTGTTTCTGTGGCAGTATTATCATCATTAAAATGTATTTTAAATTAGAGAAGTCTCAGTGAGACAAATTGATTTCTAAAAGCAAGAACATCAACTTTCACCAGACTAAGGCAACACAAAAGTACACGAAATGTTAATCACATACATAATCACATAATCATTTACTTATCATATGTGCATAATCACTTATTTATCATATTTTCCTTACCCATTTCAGAACCATCGGGACAGCCCCTCGCTCCTTTAAATTCTGATCCTGACAGCTAAGAAGCTCTTTCTATTTTCAAGTCAGGGTTTCTGCCCTCCCTCCCCAACGCAGCCACAGTCTAAAAGGTACAGCTGTTAGATTGCCTGTAAGTGAACTTGGCAAGAAAGGGCACCACCAATTTCCCTGTTCTGGAAAGCTCAACTGGAGAAGACGTTTTCTGTGTTGCAATCCACAGCCACTGTGTGCAGTCAAGTATTAGAAAAAGAAATAAAGAACTCTGATGTAATTGGGATAGGGAAAGTGTCTACCAGCAATTTTTGCTTAACAACCTGCATAAACAATTACCTGCTCAAAATCCAACTTCATGATGGCCTTCTGAAGATATCTCACTCCACCATGGATCAATTTAGTACTCCTGCTGCTGGTCCCTGATGAGAAATCATCTCTTTCTAGAAGGGCTGTTTTTAGTCCTGTGTTACCAGAAAACCAAATTAACTTCTTAAATTACACAATTTGTATGTAATTCATTAAAGACACTTCTCTAGGGTAGAGACAATCACAAGAAAAATTACTCCGTACATGGATAAATTTGTATTCAAAGTGTAGTGCACTGTCTATATTGTAATGAAAAATTTTAGCCTTCTTCCTGAGGGAAAAGTCAAAACAGAACTTAAACAGAAGCACATTAAAACCTGGATATTTCACAATAGAAAGGCATTACAGTACATTATAGGGGCCACGCTCCCTCAAGCAAATTATAGTTTGTATTCATGGCAGGAACAGAATATTTTCATGAATACCCTTAACTCTTTGCAGCAGAGCTCAAACTATCACACTAATTATTTCAACAGCACAGCAGCTAGACAGATAACTGGCAACCCTGCCTCCTCCCCAAAGTTTGCTCCACAGGCTCCCAGTGCCAAAAAAGGGCCCATCTGCAATGGGTGCACACTCAAGGAAGAGCTTATGGGATTGATGCTTCAAAAGTCATCCCTGTGACATCTTGTGAATGTGGGCACTGCCATTATTTGCTCCCCAGAAAGTTTCCCAAGAAGTCTGCTAACACCCCAAACCAGTCAAACAAACATTAAGGCTATCCCACTGAAAGGAGTGATGAAGTGCTTGGAGGAAGACTTCAGAGGAAAAGCATGGTGAACTCCAGTGGCAGAGCTCCAGCACAGCCTTACTTGTTTCAGAGACTAAATGAAATAAGGCAGGAGGGAGGGAGGTTTTCCTCCATGTAGAAGGAAGATACCTAAGGGGCAGCACAAGGCTAACAGAGCAGCAGACAATATATCCATACTGCAGGCTGAAAACCTGCAGCCCTTTCCAGTGAGACTACCAACAGCCACGGGATTAAGAAGGAGCATGCAGAGTTCCAGAGCCTTCTGAATCCAAGTCTGAACAGGCTTTTGGGATTAAGAATTCGGCAATTCACTTCTGCCTATCAGCCCATCCAAACCCAAGTGTTTACCAGCCTTAAAAGCAACAATCCAAAATTTCAATCCCCGGTGTTCAAAGATCAACCAGCTCCTACTGATTGTTACTGTGAAGCAAATGAACTTCTTCTAATATTCAGGGTTCTCACTCGTAACTCAAGAGTTTGTCCAAACATGAGCTTGCCATAAATTGATTTTACCAACAAAATTAAACAGCCATTATCAGTATGCAAGTTACCAAATCCCAACTACCATGGTTATGAGTGCCACTAACCAGACAGACCTTCTCCATCTCTGAGGATGTGCAAAAGCTGTTCCACTTCATTATTATTTTTCTCCTCTGTATTACACACACACACACACTCTAAGGATATAGCATCCTGCCACATACACAAAATGTTTTAATTAAGACCTAATACAAAATACAGCAACTTTGCTAGGAACTGCAGGAAAGAAGAGTTGATCTGCAGCTTATAATGCACATACTGCAGCACTCATGCAACACAGACATCCTTCTTTGACGCCCTGTACAGGCAAAGGGCCCACACACAGTGTCAGCCACCAGACAGCACAAAGCCTTGCAGACACTCAGCCAGGTGTGAGGCTGCCAGCTGCTGTGTTTTCCTAGCACAAAGGAGGGATAACCACGGGGCTCAGAAACATTCTCGCTAATCCAGAGTGCCTCAGAAGAGCACTTTGCGTTATAATGCATATTCTGACAAACACTTGGAGAGGGGTTGCACGCTTGCTGTGCCCCCAGCTGCACTGCAGGACAGGATGCAGCTCTCTGTGGGTGAGGGATGTGACAGCACTGCCAGCAGTGCTCCTGCACAGTGTGGGACAGCAGCATTGTTGCTAGAAGGCTGGACCATGGGAAATGCACGCTTAACAGATGCTTCTCAATGATCCGGGGCAGGCACCAGGCTCTATTTGGCACACAGCTGCAAGACAGCCATCTATGCTCCAGCATAAGGAAAGCCAAGGAAGAAAAGCAGCGCAGGACAGCTTTGTGGCCATCTTTTGCTTGCAGAACAGACGGAAACACAGGGAGGTGGCAGTCACTTACAGAACTTGCTATAGCAGATCCCTCCAACTGGAGGAATCCGAAAATCAGGCAGACAAGGAGAAAATGAAACTCAGTGGTCCAGCTTTGGGACCACCAGCAGCACAGTGACACGTGAGCCCAAGGAGCATCTGCATGAGCAGTCGGCCCTTGGGTCCTTCCTTCTCCATCTTTCAGGGCTGCTTTATGCCATTTTAACATCTGCTGGTCTCCCAAAACTTCTGTCCTTAAACTAATTATTACTGGTAACTTCCAAAGATCAGAGTAATTTATTTTTGTCAAATGTGACTGAAGATTAATGGATACAATCAGAAATAATTTGGTGAAAATATATCAAACTCATGAAAAGCAAAATTTGTTGTTAAGTGAAGCAAACATAATAAAAGAGCAAGTTCCATGAATGAACAGCAACAACACACAATTCATTAACCAAATGCCTAGGAATATTTCACACTTCAGAAATCCACTGATATAATCAGAATATCTAGTAAAAGGAACTATTACCTACAATAATTTCTCTGTGCTTTACAACTGTATTTTCTACCACAATATGGCAAAGGGAGAAATGAAAAGATCCAAAGTTACTTTTAACGATAAATGAAAAAAAAAAAATAAATCAGTAACTTGATTTGCAGGTAGCTAACAATGAAGAGCAATGAAGCATACCTTGCTGCTCCATCTGTTTCAAAATGATCACACCTTCTTGCCAGGTATTCTTCAAATCAAACTCCACATTACATTCCTGGAGTCAGGTTTTACCTCTTCTGATATATATCTACATGTTAAACAACCTTAAGAACTTTATGACTATTTTATATTTTGCATTTCAGTTAAAAAAATAAATGGAAATAGCAAGGTCAAAAATACAGATACCAATGAAGGCCTGTTCTCTTTCATTGGCTGATTCCACTGAAAACAGCAACAGAAAGAACACATCCCAAGGTGACCATTTCTCACTGATTCTTTTGGGTTTTTAAAATAAAAATACAGTATAGCATTTCAACTGAACAGAAGCTGACGCTCCAGCCTCTCTCTCAGAAACCTGATGCATTTTTACCTATGCATCTGGAGCCTTATTTTCACCAAACTTGTAAAATTACCAATTGCCTCCAAGAGCCATTGAGTTCGAGTAGAAGCTGCTAGCTAAAGTTGTCATGCAAGGAGGACAACAGTAGGTGCTCATGCCCTGCACTGCCCCCAGAACCAGAGCTCTGCACAGAACAGACGAGCTGCCACACATCTGTCAGGCAGCAGCCCACAGCCATACAGACATTCTCAGCCCTTGGCAGAAGTCAGGTAGAAAGCATCATCTTGAACTGATTTTATCTCAAGCTTTCTGAAGAAGGTTAACAATTAGTTTTTCCACTTAGGTAGCTTTTTAAACCAGTTACACAGCTAATCTCACAAAAGAGGAGCCAGGAGAGCACAAACCTACTGTATGCAGCTGCAGACTGAAGGCTGGGAGTAGGCTCCCTAGTACATTCAAACAGCCTTCCCTAAACCTGCAGTGCAACAGGCAGCTACACAGCATTAGCAGAGGTTGTAGGTCTCACGTTACAGGAAACATGAGCTTGAGAGCCATGTGCCTCATTGTGAATTCATGCTTGCTCCATTCAGAAATAACGTGTACTAGAACGTTGTGCAACTGCCGTCTTCTCTGCTGCAGGCGTGCAAGTGTAACTGCAGGTAAACCCACCAAGCAAGAAGCATGAGAGGAGAAATCCACCCAAGTGCAGCCAGCAGAGGGTCAGCACTGATGCGAACTGCATATAAGCATTTAGACAATGAAAACTATGCTGAAATAAAATACAGCAAGATTTTTCTTTTCTTCATTTCTGCTCCCGAGATCAGAAGGCAGTTTTATAACCAAGCATTCAGAGGACACATTCTTTATCTTCAAGTGGCTTTTGAAAGCCAATCTGATTAATTATTATAAACCATGTAATCCAAGAATGAATTCTTACCTCTAGTGACTGCATCTAAGGCACAACCACATCCTGTTGCTCCTCCACCTATGATAAGAACATCAAACTCAGGTGTGTTTTTTAGCGTGGAAATCTGCTCTTCTCTTGTAGGAAAATCGTTCTTTATGGGAACAGTCACTGCTTCTGCAGCTTGAACATTCACCAAGGTGCCCTACAATGATTAAAAGCAAAACAAAGAGCTGCATTTAATGTGTATCCAAAAGCCAAACACACACTTAAATACGCATGCAACAACTCACAGCACTTCTTATTACCCAGAAGGTAAACTGAAATATTTCAAGTTGCTTTACCTTTATTTAATGATAATACTGTATTAAAGCATTATGGAGCAAATACTATTAAAGACATGCAAGATCAAAAAGCCATGCAGGTTGTCTCTTTGCTTGCAGCTCCAGCTCTGCTTTGCATTCCAGCTCTCTTCCTCCCAGGTTTCCCTCACTCACCACTGCCCCTCACTCTGCACACACTAAGCAGTGAGTTCCTCTCACCACTATTTTGCTTGTTTATTCTGAAGACCCAGAGGACCCATGTTTCCCAGCTGCACTTCCAGAAGATGCTTTTAAATTTTTAAAATATACACTGCAGAGACTGGGGCACCAGGGTCAGGGTAACTAATTGGAAGAAGCAGAATGGACCAAAATAAACAGGAAATTAAGGCCACTCATTTTCAGAGTATTTCCTGGAAGTTACACTTCCTGCACAAGGAGAAAACAAAAGTCCAAGTGTTTAAGCCCTATGCCCTAAGTCCCCATCCCTGGGGGGTGTTGCAGAGCTGTGTGGATGTGGCACTAAGGGACAGAGTCAGTGGGCATGCTGGGGGTAGGCTGGGCTTGGGCATCCTGAAGGTGTTCTCCAACCCTAATGATTCATAGAATGTCATGCATCTTTAGTCCAAGCAGCAGATTTAATTGATGTAAGACAGCCTGCGTCCAGGGCTCCTAGTAAGTACAGAAGCTACATTCAAGTGACCAAGCCCACCTACAATCCTCCCCAGCAGCATGCCCTACCTCGCTGCTCTCCCCACTCCCAGCAGTCCCACAGTGCCCTGAAGCTGCAGAGAGCTATCCGCACGTACAAGCCACCTTCAGTTTTAAGAACTCCAAGTGCTTTCCTGGCATTTGCAGAGGGAAGGGAATATACACCTGCCATAACGAAACAGCTTGACTGACAAAAGGTAGCTCTGTCACTTGCAGCCATCTGTTCCTATCTGCAGCTGAAGAGGTTTCCAGCAGCTACCGGCCAAATGGTGCAGCTCCTCTTCAGCTAGCAAATCTGTGCTTGTGGGAGCTCTGTTAGGCTCCCCAGGTCTGCTAAGGTAGAAAGGATTCTTGCAGGACCCACTGTAAATTACCAGCAAACTCAGCCACGCACTGAAGCCTCAACTTGGCTTGAACTGTATGTAAGTGCAATGTATTATTTCTCAGTTGCTATAAATGTATCACTGCAACTGACAATACAATCTAGTAACCTCTAGGCCTGTCTAAAGAAAGAGCACATTCAAAACACACAACTGATGACCAAGTTCACCTCAATTATAGATTACATAGACTGAAACACAAAGACTCTTCTTCCACTTCCATACTGGCTAACTGCAACAGTGCAGCACAGGAAGGTAACAGCCAGAGCTACCACTGCCCCCTGTGGCAATACAGACTATTTCCTAAGTGCTTACCTTAACTTCAGGAAAAGGAACACAATCCAAAGTCAGAGTTCGTGAAGCACTGACACCATTTAGTTTCTTTAAAATGCATTATCTACAACAAATATAGTAAAAGACAGCTCCAAGCAAACAGTCCCTGGCACAGCAAAAGCTCAGAGATCAGCACACGAGTAACTGAAAGTAAGCACAGTGATTAGCAGCCTAGGAATTGATATAGATATGATTCATCTTGCTGTCAATTAAATGTGAGACTGAAGAAAAGCTGCATACAGGGATTCCATCTGCAATAACGTGATTAGTTTGGCAGTGAACAAGTATGTTTACTGAAATAAGCAATTGCTGTTTATATCTACAATTTCTCAGGCAAGAGTTCCTTGAATGGTTTTGATTACGCTCTTAGTGAGAAGAAATGTAGTTTGGCAGTCTGAATTCAATCATCAAGTTATAAAGTGATCTAGTAATCCATAAGCAAGCATTCTTGTTAATTTGGCTAATGTAAATCTCCAGGTAGGTTCACAGAGGCAAATTCATCATCCCCATTCATTAAAAAAGAAAATGAAAGTAATTAAAAACCCCAAAGCAAGCTCCGATGCATTATCACGTTATCGCTGCCTGCACCGGACTCCCTGCAATGAGCAATTCCTACTGCCCCACCAGCACTGCTCACCAGCAACGGGGCTGCACTCAGGCACCGAGCACAGCCCCACAGCAAAGCAGTGCTTTTTCCTCAGCAGCTACAGAGAAAAAGTAGCAGTGGCTCAGAGTCAAACCCAGAAAACCAAACAATACCCCCCTCGTATCTACTGCCGGCCCACTGGGCTCAATGAAACAGGCACACAAAGTAAGAACTCGGCAACTGTCACCGGCTACAAAGCGAGAGAAATCACCATTTCCATTCCTCTGTCACCATTAGCATTAGAGGTGCTTGCAGCAGAGGTACCAAGGCAGGCTGCAGCACTGGGGCCATTTCTATCTTTCAGTTGTCTGAATACTCGAGGCCAGAACTCCCACACAGGCAGGCTGTGTATTTTAAGCCCCGTGTAGGCGCCCAGCTTCATCTCAGACAGGATTTTCATTTCCAGGAGCTCATGATCAGTAGTGAACGTAGCGCATCCAAGCTGGAGAACTATCTGCATTGTTCAAGACGAATTTAATTTACAGAGGTGGCACAGAAGGGAACTAAGCCTTCATATTAATTCAGTAAATATCCCGGTGATCAGGTTACCATCCGAAACACAGAAGTGCAGTATTCATCTATCAGCTTCTGAGTTAAACTCAGCAACTCTGTCATGTCAACACATGCTCCCATGCTCTCCCCGCTCAGCTCAAAAAACAACACACAATCAGGGGAACTGACTCAACTGCTGGCATGCCTGCATATGCCATACACAACCAGGAAACGTATATCCCTATTGCCTCAGTTGCTGTTGCAGAAACAGCCTCCCAGGCATCAGCATTTTTATCTGTGTGTTACAGGAAAAGAAGTGGGGATAAACAACCTGCCATTGGGACAGATCAGAATCCACCGTGTTTTATTTCCAGGGTGTAAAACACCTTCCAGTTCTTACACCCATGCAAGGCTAATGACACTAACCAGGCCATTCTCATCCAGGCTTTCACCCTTAAGCCTAGCAAGAACAACTCCAGTTCCAACACCAGAAAATACCCACACTCACTGCTTTCAGCAGACCAACCACGCACTAATATGCCCAACTAACAGATCCAAGGGAACTCCCACCCATTCCCCAGAGCCAGCAGCTCACCACCCCTTAGCTTTCCCTTGGGGCAACCCGGGACAGCTGAGTTTCACAGGAGCAGCATCAGCTGAGCAAACACAGAACAAAGACAGATAAGTCAACCGCACTGCGCGCCCAGGATTACTGGCCAAGGGAGCTCTGTATTCTGTACTTGGGTGCTCTAATTCCAGGATGCTAAGCACAGCACAGACACCCAGAGCCACTTACAGACCAAGCATGCTGCTTTACTTGCATTTTACTTGTGTCTTACTATGTGACGGATTCTGATCTTAAGATAACAAACAGACTTCTTACAGTGCGTAGCCAATTAGTGCACATCTTGGGGCAATATCCTTCCCTGGCACAGGAAGACAAGATCTTTGCCCTAGCATACATTTGATTGGCAGGCATTATTAAAAAGAGGACACTTGGGCTGGGGGACATGCCCACAGCTTAGATATGTCAACACTACAAATGGACTGTCCTCCTTTGTGTCAATCCCTGCAGTCACGTTCCACCTGCTGCCCTACATTAGGTGGTTAAGGCAGAAGCTTTGAGGGACATCACGTGGGAAATGTGCAAGTTAGTACAACATGAAAACAACACGCTGTTCACTTGACAGATCCATTTGCCTACACATATGCTAGAAATTTTTCAGATCCTTTGTAGACAGACACTACACAATAGGTCCAGAAATCAAGGGACAAGTGGATTTTTTCATCTTGACACCACTTTCTTTAAAGCGTGTTTTTTTAACTTGCCTTTGGAAATTTGGAATGACCATCCAATAATGGCAGAAAACTGGAAATTCTTGAATTCTGCAATATTGCATATATGACAAATTATCTACCCAGATCAGTTGTGCCTTCCAACTCCTTTTTTATTTAGCAGTCCTAAGATTTGAAGCTGCAGTTTCCGACAGTAATGAAGCCAGATTGTAATATCCTATGATAACAGCTCCAGAGAGAGTTAGATTAGCAGCTAGGCTCAAAACAGGCAGTCCAATGGGAAGCTCACTTAAAATGCTAGGCTTTATTTTTTGCAACAGTATCTGAAGCTATAAGGATCCTGGCTTATCCACTTTCCAGCTAGGCTCCCTGGGAATGACTCATCTCATTCGCCTTACCGATATCTCAACTCTACTCCTCTTCACATGGAAACAGCCAGAAGATTCAGACTATCGTTTATTCAGACCCATTCTACACACCTTCATGAAGTTAAGATCTACCTGTATCCCTGGGTTTCAGCGCTCGTGGTTTGAATGGGAACCCACAGTAAATACACAGTAGCTAAGTAGCTCGTGGTTACTTGCTGTTGATAAGGAGCTGGCCAATTGCATTTCTAAGGTGAGAAGCACAAAGCACCCTGAAAAATGAGCACCCGCTCACCTAGCTGCTGAAAGGAAGGATGAGGTGCCCCTCTTAAGCTCTTTCCAGATGGAAAACCAGATGGAAGTAAATCAGGCCAGAGCTCTGGCTGCACCTACTTGAAACAGTATGGAACACCAATTGCAGTGAGGCAGGTAGCAGCCTCACAGCCTACACTTAACAGATGAGATGATGTGTTCTTTACATGCATAGCATACAAATATATGAACTTCTCAAGCATAGCACAACTGCACTGAAATAAGAGGTATCTGTCTAAAACCAGTAGCTGCTGATCAGCACCAGCTCTGCCTAAAAGCAGACCACAACTCTTGTTCCTTCTGCTGATGTTTTTCCTAGGTTTCTGCATTAAGAAGTGGGAAACAAAAACAACAAAATATGGCTGCTCCAGTTCACCTGGAAGAAGCTCCGATAACAGTGACACAGACTAGAACCAGGATCTCCTACGTCTCTTTCTGCTACCACTATCTTTCTTTATCAGTATATTTTTCACCATCTTCCTTTACTGCTCTGGGAATTTTTAGCCCATCAGTGTGCCTTAATTACCCAAAATACAGCCTCAAACCATGTCCTGAGCACATCTTTGTCTAGGCTGTGCCCACGCAGTGAGACACCAATGCTACCAGAAGCAGAAGACCTCCCACAGACCCCACCTTAAAACAATTATCAGTTTCCTGAACTGCCCAAAAGTTGCCACAATCATTGTATAAAGCTGAGATTCTCAGGTAATGCTAGTGTTTCTATGTACTTCAAGCAACTTGTACTTCAGCTGGTATTTCTCACTCCTCCTGTAACTAAGTGACATCCTTGGGGGTACCCAAAGGACATTTTTTAAACAAGAAAAATGATTTACATGAATCATACTTTGCCACTGGTTAAAGACCTGCAATGGTGAAACATCATTTAATGCCATCCTCCAGATAGCACACAGCAAATCAAGCTGAGAGCTCTTGGCATCCCTTCCCAAACAAAGCTATTCGTATAAGCCTAACATACGCTCAAACAGATTTTAAGCTTCATATTTTATCAGAAGTCATAATTAATACTTACGTGTTTGTTTCTATACTGAGAAAATTGAGAGAGGCCAAAAACTGTTGCTATGGCACCTCCTCCAATGAGAACAGTTCCTTTCACTGCCTTCTGAAATGCCATTTTTTACTGTAAGAAAAGAAGATAAAAATTAATAGGCAGTTATACCATGTCACAGAATAGACCATTTGTAGAAGACGAAGACAGCGTTGATGTTGTAACAAGTTGAAACTTAAGAGTAGCAATAGATTAATTAACGATTTTCATTGCAATAGCAGTGATTTCTAAACAGATGTAGACAGAGGCAAGCCAGAATGCTCTGGTATTTGCAACTCAAGCAGAATGACAAAAGAGTATTGAAGCATACGGGGAGATGTGTGGGTACACACATATGTGGTGCTGCACATACCTGCATACATGACAAGTACTTACAATACTGTGGCAGTAGCAGAATAAGAACACTGCCATCAGCCAGATGACCACCACATCCTTACTGCAGCAGAACAGCTGATCTGCTTGCAAGATCACCTTCAACTCCCCTCCATCCCCTCAAAACCATTTTTACAACCAATTATCCCAACAGCACTCCATCCCACGTCTCCACCAGGAATTACAGCCCTGCTCCCACAGCTCCCCAGCACAGCTCATCCTACCCAGGCACAGCACAGAAGCGATGAGCTGCCAGCCAGGAATGGCTCCTTCAGCACTGAGCTGCAGCAGAGGCAGGGGACAAGACCGAGTGCTTTAAAACAAGCACAGAACTCTATAATCTAGCTTCAGAGGTATTAAAGCCAGGCCTATGTAGGTCAGGAACATTCTTAAAAGGCCCAGTGTTTGGGGCTGAATGAAAAATTTGCATGGAACTGACCTGAATCTTAAGTAGGCGCAACCCAACCCATCCTGCCAGGACCAAAGCAGCTCGCACCCCATAGAAACATGTGTTGAGTTGGAACTGCTCAGACAAAGCTCTGAGTCCTGAGGTGACAAGGGCAGCATTGTGCCCCAGCTCTGCACAGCAGCCCCAGCACAAAAGACAGCACTGCTGCAACACGGCACAGGCAGCACACACAGCCCTGAGAGCCCCTGTGCATCTGCAGCGTGGCAGGGGAGGCTCCGGGCATCGTTCCACCTTTCAGTTGGCATTACAAGTGGCACCAAAGATCTTTAAAAACAAGACAAATAAGAAAACTTTGCTTTAAAAATTGATACCATCTTCACTTCTGTTCACTATGCTTGCAGCACGCTCGGGGGAGAAAGCACACCAAATTATTGCAGGCAAATAAGTGCTTTAGGAATGATGTTGTATGCAGTGATGCACCGATTGTTGTGCAGGAAGAGAGGACTTGCACCTTCCCCAGCGTTTTTGGGAAGAGCAGCACACACACTCTGAAAGGTTCCCATCACAAAGACAACCTTTATTGGACTATAAGTGGAGAACCAAGTTTTCCACTGACCTTATACTTCAGTCTCAAAAAAGACCAACTTCATCTTTCCTCTATGTTGTGACTGGGAGGAGGGCCCCAAATCCCCCACCACCCAGAATTAACAGAACTACAAAGAACACACACAGGCAATGAGCATCAGGTCACGCACCACCCATGGCTGCACAAAGCACGTGGCAATGGCAAACACACACTGAGCACTCTGTGTACTATGCATTGCCACCATACGGTCTCTGCAAGTCATTAGAATAATAACTTAACTTCCAACTGCAAACCGGAGACAGCCTTCAAGGCGTTTCACACACCTTATGCAGCAGCACAGAGTCACTTCAAATAAGGCTGCAAGACCCCGGCTCACAAACGCCTGCTCTGGGAACACAACATGCTTTAGAATCCAAGCAAGTTTCAAAAGAACAAATTAGCATCTTCCAACAAGCCAACTTACATGACAGAAAAAACACTGGCTTTCAAGAAAACAAACGGAAGTATGTCCTAGCACTTGTTTCTCCTTAAATCATCATGTTTAGCTGTGAAGCCCGAGCACACAGCTAGCAGAACCAAAGCCCCACATCTTTGCTCAGCAGGGTCAAAGCAGAGAGTGGAGGTGCTGACCACCATCCCAATGCCCCAGAGACCTGCACTGCTCCACATAACTATGCAAATCCCAGACCATTATGTTAGTTTTTTTGTTTTTAAAGCAAGGGAATTGTGACACCAGAACTGTGTGTCCTGCCGGATCATACTAACCACATTTTTTTTTCATCAGCCCAGCGCCACGAAGACGGTGAAGGGAGTGGAGCATCTCCCTTACAAGGAAAGGTTGAGGGAGCTGGGTCTGTTTAGTTTGGAGAAGAGGAGACTGAGGGGTGACCTCGTTCATGTTTATAAATATGTAAAGGGTGAGCGTGATGAGGATGGAGCCAGGATCTTCTCAGTGACATCCAGTGATAGGACAAGGGGCAGTGGGTGCTAGCTGGAACATAGAAGGTTCCAATTAAGTACCAGAAAAAGCTTTTTTTACAATGACGGCAACAGAATGCTGGGATGGGGTGGTGGGGTCTCCTTCTTTGGAGACACTCAGAACCCACCTGTGTGACCTGATCCAGGTGTTCTGTTCTGGCAGGGGATTGCACTACATGATCTTTTGAGGTCCCTTCTAACAAACATTCTGTGATTTCTGAAGAAATCCAGCTCTTTAAAAAGGAAGGAATTACATCACATCTTGTAACCAGTTGACCAGGACATCTTTAGTTGTGTTGAAGAATTCCTGCTGCACCAACCAAAACTAAGTTTTCTCTGCCCGTGATCCAAACTAGAAGTATCACTGCATAAATGAAGAAGCACAAAAATCTGTGTGCTACATTTCCAAGCTGTTTGCACAAATTTATGAATATAATAAAAGAAAGACTCGACACTCAGTGAGTTACATAAATAACTACATGGTATTTTTTTTCAGTAGCTTGAAGTACTATTTTCTTCTGACTACATTTTGCTGTTAAAATCCTCAAACTACATATTCACATAAAGAATAAAAGCCTTTCTAGGTCACAGCTGGGAAATAAGATACTAGCAAATATTCTTCAAATTCAGAGACACACCTCACCTGCTTCCCTTTCCAGAACCAGCAGGCACCACCCAAAGTCTCCCACTCGCAGCTGCATTAGCTCAGCATCTCCCAGTGCCACATCTCCCAGATGGGGGAATTGGTCTGAGCAGCCCCAGCCACCGTAAGAAGCCCCCCACAACCGCTGCCACAACCCAGAAAGCCTCGAAGCACCTCTGTCACCAGCACTAACAGAACACAACACAACCCTTCATATGCACGAACAGCTTCTGGAGACCAACCATCCTTTAACAGATTATCAGAATCACACAAAAGCTCAACTCAAAATTGGTTTCTTGGATGAGACAAGCAAAATCTTCAGAACGGTGTCTTTTAAACCACTGTTTTTTTTAGCAAACTAACCTTTCCCAGCTTCAGATTTCTCCCACGGAGGCTTTACACCCTACAGGAGCAAGGCCTCCAGCAGGGCACAAAGGCACTGCCACCAGACCCATTTCACCCTAACCACACCACAATGACGTTCCATGTGCCACATCACAGCTCTGCCGCAGTGTGACACCAGGAATGGCGTGGCACCTTGCTGCCCTTGCTACGGCCAACTTCCAGCCCCTGCAGCTGGTTGCCAGCATGGGGCTTGGTCCCTCGGCCCTTGGGAGGGGAGAGCAGCTCTTGGAAACAGTGACAGGCATCATTTGTGTGGTCAGCTGTCACATTTTGGGGTGCATTGCACCGAGCGTGGCCAGCAGGGCAGGGAGGTGCTCCTCACCTCCGCTCTGCCCTGGGGCGAGGGCACAGCTGGAGCACTGCAACTGTGCAGGGCCAGGTGGGATGGGGGAGCTCCAAAGGCCCCTTCCAGCCCCAGCACCACAGCTTCCTCCAGCTCACACAGCCCTGCTCTGGGCAGGAGGATGGCAGGAGCACGGCCCAAACACAGCCCAGGCAGCCCTGTGGCTCAGTGCCAGCAGAGAAATGCCAGGCTCGCTAAGCACGCACCTGTGGAGGTGTTCCCCGTGTCCCTGAAGAGCTTCAAGGGCTACTGCAAGCATCAAACAGGACGAACCAGAGAGCAGAAGAGGAAATAGGAAAGAATGCAGGCCATGTAATTATGGCAAAGATTGTATGTGGAGTGCCACACATACAGACAAGAACCTAAACTCAAAAACCCTCATCTATTCCAAGCAGATAATAAAACTTGACTCTCTTCCAAGCTGCAATCAACAACTTGTGATGGAATCTCAGAATTTTATATTAAGACATATCGTAACAGCATGCAGCACAAGAAGCAGCGCAGTCTGAAATAAGTCATCCTTCCAGAACACAGATATTCTCAGCGGTCTTTAAAAATGCCTCAAACAGCACACAGTGGGTTAATGCCGTAAGTGCAGTCCGATGCTGAACATCTCCAGGTTAAGCAAGCTTTACCCATTGTTTCAAGGCATATTTTGATGTGCAGCACCTGTGGGTCCTCAGCTACAGGGCTGGGGCAGCCCTCGGTGGGCCACAGATCAAGCTGCTGGATCAGGGAGCCCTCTGCTGCCATAGGGCACAGCACGAGCAGCAGGCACCATGTGCAGTGTGATCTGCCCAGATGTGGAAAGCACCCCACAGGGGACACTGCCCAGCAAGGCAGCAGAGCACCAGTGCACAGGGACACACAGCAGCATCAGCTCAAGTTCACAGCTATCTTAAGACTGCCTATCAGAAGTGCAAACTGCAGAAGGTAGTACAAAGGAGAAGAAAGAGCCAGCCTACAGGAAATGGGAACCACACAAGAGGTTTTATCAGGACGAACTCATGCTTTCGGTTTCCAAGCATTCACTACAAACTACCTTCACAGCAGGAGCCACTCCCTCCTGCCCTGAATTCCAACCCAGCAACACAGTGCTCACCCCCGGTGGTCGAGAGGAGCGTGGTTTCCCAGCCAGCAGTTCCCCTGGGAAGCACACAGCCTAGAGCTGCAGGACCCTCAGCCCAGCTCCCCAGTAACACTGCCAAAGTCAGGGCTCTCCCGCTTTGCCTCCAGCCCCACGCTTAAAATCCAAAAAGCAGACAGACAGAGCACAACTTACATCCTGTTTCTAGATAAACTATTTCAACACTCGTCCTTGAGAGAAGCTTCTGAGAAGAGCATCCCACATGACAGGTCTCTGCCTCCCCACCACTGGCAGCAGACTGCTGTGATGCCCATGAGGAGCACAGCCCGCAGTGCCCGGCCAGGCGCTGAGCAGGCAGCCTGCTGTTGGCTGGGATCTCGGTTGGGGTTGTGTAACTGCAGCCTGCCAGCACGCATACCTGTGGGGCTCCCAGCCCTCCCCGGTTAGCCCCACTTCTGGGCTCCAGTCCCTTCTAATTACTGAGGTATGGGGCTAGAGCTGCAGAGGGCACAGGGAAAGGAGTGGGGGAGGAGGGAGCGAAGGAAGATTCAGACGCAGTACCGCAAGCTGGAGATCAGAGGAAGATGACTACTTTAGCAGAAATGCAGAGACAGATGGATACAAACTGTAAAGCTTTGCAATAAGTGTGACGCCCTGTATGCTGCCATCAGACATGGTGTATGAGACGCAAAACCTGTTAAATTAAGAGAAGAAATCCAATCTGTTATGTTGTATATCTGAGCGCTTTATGAGGCCATTACCATGGAATCTGGGTGCTTCACATTCCATTTTAAATGAACACATCTAATAAAGTGAGTCATTCAATGGAAGACTCAAAAATAGAAAACTTATAATCACCCCCACTAGGGTTTGCATAACCTGCCATTCGCACGGTAGCATTGTCTAATCCAGTGCTTTCCAGTTGTTCCAAAGCTTCTCAGGTGAACACTGGGTGATGCGAACTCCAAACCAAAGATCCCTACAGGCTGAGCTGGGCACCCTGCGCTGCCTCTGCTTCTCCAGCCGCTGCTACCCTTGTAATGAAGCTTTTGATCCTTCTGGCTGGGCTACTTGAAAGGTAGCTGCAGTGCTGGTGCCCAGGACTGCAATGAGCCAGGCTGTAATCAGGACTCTTACTGCAGGCAGTGCTACTCAGGAGCAGATACTGACAGCTTGCAGAATGCATCCATGTAGGAAATGCTCAAAGAACGTGGAAAAAAAAAAAGAAAGGATGTAATGGGATCACATTAACACCCCACACACAACACAATCATCTACCATGTCCCATGTAGCTGTTCTTGTTTGCTTCTTAAGTGACTAAAGCAGTTAACACTTTACATAGCATGTCAGACCACGCTAACTAAAGTAAGCATCTTAGAAGGCAGTAATTAAAGCTTCAACCAGCCAGTGCTGAAGATGCTTGCCCTGCACTCCCACAACCACCAAGCACCTCTGTGCCCAGCCCGTACAGCTCCCATCTCCTGGGCTGCCCTCTGCTCTGCTCTGCCCAGCAGTGAGAACAAAGCGGCACACTGAGAGGCAACCCAAGCTGGTTATCTCACAATCTGGGCTCTGACACACGCCCTCGTGACTTCTGAATCTCATTCCTGCAAGCCACAGCTGTAAACGAAGCCACACACCAAGACAAGCTTCCAGCAGATGCAGAACTCGGCTGTCACCAAAACGCTGCTGAAGACGACACTCCAGATCCTCTCCTAGAGCCACTGATGGTTACTTCAGGTTCTTAAACACAAGTTACAGCACTTTAATTAAAGTAATTATCCCAGAACAACCTCACCAAGCAAGCACAGAAACACAGCCCATAATATCTAAACAGCTGGCAGGGTTAGAGTCCCTTGAAGCCGGAGACCGCAGTACAAATTTTAAGTTCCTACACCCTAAATTTAAAGTTCCCAAATCCCACAGGCCAACTTCCACTAATTAGTGGAAGCAGAGCAGCAGTTTGCCATATGGGGAAAATGCTGCCCACGCGGTGAGCGGGCCCGAAAGGAGCTGCATGGCATGTCACAAAAAACCACGGCAAAACAAAGAACAGTCCTTCTATCCTCGTCCTTCTCTTGCTCCCCACTGCTTCCAACTTCCTTGTTGTTTGTGCTTAGGTGACCAAGACCTTCCCACCAGGGTTAGGTGGCAGCCCAACTGCTTTAACCCTACAAGGGTTTAACTTGGACTTCTCTCTCTATTTATATTTTTCAACTTGACAACTTCCTTTTCCATGTCACACACTACCATCACTCTCCCCCCCCAAAAAAAACCCACCAAAAAACAAACAAAAAAACCCCCAAAACCTCACAAACCCAAAATAAAATAAAAATGTACAAACAACCTGACTTACAGATAAGGCAAGGAGGAGTTAGAAAAAGTTACTGTATAGGTGTTACCCTTTTCTGGCGTTCCTCACTCACTTTGTATTTAATACAGATACTTGATAGGCAGTCCACCAGTTCAGCTTCATCCTAATACTTCTACCTACAGCTCCTTCCCTCCCTCCTCCCACTTCAAGGCAAACAGTAAAGGAGAAAAATAAAAAGTAAAGCCCTGTATGTTAAACATATTACAGAATTGGACACAGATCTGCATATACAGACAGGTACCCGCTCAAAGGAAGACAAACACATACAAACTAGGCTAATTATGGAGGCGTGTCAAGGAAGTAGCCTACTTTTACACCCAGAGTTGAACTCAGCTCCCAGCCAACAGCAGGGGCACGCAGTCAGTATCATTTTGAAAGAAGAACTAACACTCGGTTTGAGAAACACTTTGCGAAGCAAATGAGTCCCTATCCAAGGCTCGGTACCCAGCCAGCAGAGGAACGCCAACCCAATCTCCATTGGCACTCCACACTTATAACTCTGGGTGAGTTCATCTGGCATTTGGAATTCTCTGAGGCAGTTACACGTTCGCTTGGGAACTTGGATCAAATGCAGTTATTTAGAGGTAGAAAACGCTTCTCCCCCTGCGCCACTAAAAAAAGAAAATAAAAATCAATGCTATGATAATGTAGAAGAGTCCTGATTGCAAATTGTTTGCTCATGATGTAATACAGAAAGTTTTCTAAAGCAGTGCTTTTTGGCAGAAGCAGAATATACCTCCATTAGCAAGAGCTGCAGCATCGCTGCGGTGCAGCCCTACAGCAGGTGCTGCTGAGAACAGCCTCCATAGTGCAGCCACGGGGCACCTGCTTTCAGGAAGCACCAGTCCTGCCCCATAAATACCCACAAAGCAGCTGAGGTACATGAGGTCTTTCTCATTTAAAGGAAGATCTTCCCACTTCTGTCTGATCTGCTTCAGGCCTTTTCCACCCCTAGACCCCAGCACTCACCCATCGACTGCTCAGTGTTTCCCACTCCTCCAGGAGCACGCAGGGCAGGCAAGCAGCATGCCTGCAGGCAGGTCACTGACACAGGCACCTCCTTCTCCTGAAGTCTGCACCAACAGACTCCCACCAGCTGCAGTGGCACACTCACAATGGAGCTACTCCCTGGAAAAACAGGCTCAGACTACAAACAGAGAGCCAAGCACTATACAGCTGACATCTACAACTGCACTATCAGACCCCTGGTTTAAATGAAGAGCAGCAAAAGCCCATCAGCTTTAGAAAAGATATATTAATTTTTGAAATCCTATTTGCCAGCATGTGAACTCACCAAAATGAGGCACCTGATAGATGTAAGCTGCTGCCCAACAGGGTTGCCTGCAAATGGAAGCCCTTGTTATGAAAGTAGTAAGATATGTACACAGGGAAGTAAAGTAATAATTGCAAGCTGGACATTGTGGAGGGGGAAAGCACATTTCTCTTATGTATTTGCTAAAGCATGCAGAGCACTGTGAACAATAAGCACGCAGCAGAAGGGAACCTGTGTGAGCTTTCACTTGGAAAGCTGGTGTGCACTGAAGGCCTTTGAACCCATCCAGTTTTCCATGCTTCCATTAGCAACAGATTACCAGGCAGTAATGGGTCTCTAGATATAACAGTTCATTAAGCAGAAGGGCACAGCCTAGGACATTGCTGTCACTGTGCTTGCGTGTACATATATGCACACACAACTAAGTAAAACAAAACACTCATCCACTGGTTGTTACACGCAAAGTAACACTATAAATTAGTCGTAACGTCTGCATAATTTTTCATGTTCATGTCCTCATTGGAAGCTTTCATCCGCTGCTACAGTGAATGTGCATGCTAAGTGTCTAACATTAATAACACTGCACTTGTTGCTATTATAGAGGAGCCTATACCACATTACACCTTAACTATCAACAGTCAGATCTCCAAGTACCACACTGAGTCATTACTACTCGTCACTCATTGCTCCCATCACTGCACCTACACCAAATGAGAAAAGGGAAAGGCGTGATTAACTTCAGTTAAAAATACATCGTGCTGCCAACAGCTGCGTCCTGAGCCCGCTCCCCATCCACGGCTGGGATTATCTTACAGAGGGACCCGGCTGTCTTCAGGCTGATGGTGTAACAACCCTTGCGTAAGCTCCGCATGCGGGTAACTCTGCCTGGAAACATGCAATAGTGACAGCAGTCCAGAGAGATCGCAGCGGAGAAGGAAAATAAGACACAAAAGGCACAGCCGTAACCTGAACGCCACCAGAAGATAAACACCAGAGCCTGCGGTGGTGACAGCCCCAGGCACAGCTCTCCAAGCCCTTCACTCCCTCCCTCCGCAGCCACCCCGCACTTGTGGCGAGGCGCAAGGCCGGGCTGCGTCCCTGCGCCACTCCTGCCATCAGTGCAATACTTTGCCCCTTGAGAGCCCAGGGCAGCACGGCGGGCAGAGCCGCAGCCGCACGCACAGAGGGCCTGCTCTGCTCACGGCACAGCACGCAGCCAGCAGCTCCGGCCGCTCTCCTCTCAAGGCGTCCACGTGCAACGGCTGCAGTGACCGATTACAAGAGATAAGGAGCCGGAGACGCTCAGGAGCTCCTCATTACACCTAGACACTCTCACCCAGAAGCAATGCTGAGTGCTCAACGCGAGCCAGGAGCGCTCCAGCCCTGCCGCGCACAGCTCAGCATCCCACCGCACCGCACCGCACCCCGTCCCCGCGCTCGCACCCCGCCGCAGCGACGAAGGGGCAGAGCTGCGGGCCGCCCGCGGGTCGACGCACAGCGGGACGCGGCGGCTGCGGCTCCTCGGGGCACGGAGCTGCCGCGGGCTCCTCGGCGCACAGCCGCACGCCGCTCCTCCCCTCATTCGCACCGGCTTCCCGCCGCTTACATAAAAGAGCCGAGGAGGGGCCGCGGCCCCCGGCAGCCCCGCGCGATGGAGCCGAGCACAGGGTGCTGCCGCCCGCCCAACGGCCGCTGCGGTGCGGTGCCGTAGCAGCCCCTCGCCTCGCCCCGCCCGCCCCTCCCGCAGCCCGGTACCGGCACACGCAGGGCCTGGCGGCGCGCACCGCAGAAAGGCTCGTTAGGCCCCGCTCTCCCGGCCCTCTTCACCCCTTTTACCCCTTACCCCGTGCCGCCGGCGCGGCTGCTCGCGGAGGCGGACGCTGAGGAGAAGCGGCGCGGTCACGGAGCGGCCCGGCGGCCTCCCCGCCCCGGGCTATATTTGGGCGCGCCCCGGGGCCGGGCCGCGGCTGCCCGGATGGCGCCGCTCCAGCACGGCGCGGCCCGGCCCCTCCTCGGCCCTCCCCCGGCCCGGCCCGCAGCCGTCCCACAGCCGCTGTCCCGGCCCGCCCCGCCGCCCGGCGCTGCCCCGCGCTTCGGAAAGGCCGCGCCGCGGGGCTCGGCGGTTCGGGCGGACCGGGAAGCGCCGGGACGGCCCCATAGAGGGCTGCTGGGGGCTGGGCACCTCCCGATGGGGACGGGCCGACAGCCCCGGGGCCGTGCGCCCGAAGGAGGGAAGGCTGAGGGCTGAGCGGCGCTGACCCGCAGCTGAAGGGCGGGGGATGGGGCCGAGTGCTCCCGGGTGCCGAGTGCTGCTGTAGGGGCTGCTGCTGGTCGGGATGGCAGAGATCCAGAGGCCCCTTCCACAACCGCGTCGTGGGGTCCTGGAGCCTCGAGTGGTTTGTGTGCAGTTCTGGGCCACTCAGTACAGAAAAGACACGAGTGCGTCCAGAGACAGGCGACAGAGCTGGGCAGAGTCTGGAATGCAGTCCTGACGGGAATGGCTGAGGGAACCGGGATGGTTCGGTCTGAGGGAAGCCCCGAGAAGACCTCGTAGCTCCCTACAACTCCTGAAAGGAGATCGGAGCGAGGAAGGGTCAGCCTCTGCTCCCCGGTAACAGCAATAGGGCGAGAGGTGATGGCCTCAGGTTGTACCAGGAGATGTTAAAGCTGGGTACAAGGAAACAATTCCTTCTCCACAGAGCAGTCAGGCAGTGGCACAGCTGCCCAGGGAGCGGGGGTCACCATCCCTGGGGTGTCCCAGAGCCGTGGGGATGTGGCACTGAGGGATGTGGGCATGGGGGGGTGGGTGGAGTCGGGCGTGGGGATCTCAGAGGCCTTTCTCAACCTTGATGATTCTTTGATTCTATGATTTCCTGGGATTTCAGCTGTTGTTTTACTTTAGGACCGAGGCAGGTCCCAGCACATAGAGCTGGGTGGCAGCTCTGTGCTGTATTAACATCATTTACTTACTGCAGGTCCTTCCTCACTACTACAGTGAGGTTCAGTCCGGATGGCCTGACCACTTGCGGTTGATTGATACAAGAACTGCTAGAGCTCCTGCCCAGAGAAATGTGCCGTCTCTGGGAGCCTACCTTTGTAAAAGCAGGCAGTGCCTAATAGGTGTGCAGAGACAGCTTCACACTTTTCATTCCTGGTTGTTCCCGGTGGCCCCAGTGTGGCATGGAGCCACACATCTGTGGCTGCCTCTCAGTGATCTCTGCTACATCTTGTTCTGGAGCTGCGGCTTCTCAGGATCCCTGCTGATTTTTTACCAGGGCTGGCAGAAGCACTAGTGAGCAGTTAGCCCAGTTTTTAACAAAGTGGAGGCCAGATTTCAATGCTGCTGCCTCTGAGGAATAGTTAGCGGAGCCCATAGGGCAAGGGGCAGGAAACCTGCAGGGCTGGGATGGAGGTTGTGCTTGAGCTTCACGGCGCAGGGCATGCAGGCTTGGTTTTCCCTACTGAGCATTTCCTTCTCAGAAGTTCTCCAATCCTTTAGCTTTGCAAAATAGCAGATCTGCATTCTCAAACTTCTAACAGTTAAATGAAGTGCTAGGCCTATGAGACTTGAAAGTGAGTTGCATGGCCTACTACTGGATTGCATGATTTCTGGAGACATTTTCTGTATCTTCTCTCTGATTATCCCTGTTGATTAGCCCCTTGTTCTGTGATAGCCAGGGAGCCCTGACAGAGCATCTGCTGTGGTCTGTAAGGGCTCTCCATTTCTCATCCTATTTGCCACGTGCTGGGCTTCCAGGGTTACAGCTGGCTGCCACAGCTGGCCAGTGTTGTTTTGCAGTGAGAAGGCACGCAGCAGTGATACGCCATGGTCCTCTCCTTTCCAAAGCTCCTGGCTGAACCCCTGGCTGCTCTGTATGTTGCAGTGTACTGAACTCATGTTTCCACCAGTGCTTGGGATCTCCTTTTCCATGCCAGACCAAAGCACCAGCAGATCTATGGCTGCGTCCTTCCCCACAGGGCTGTCTGTGCCCAGCTTGTATCCTCATGCAGATGATGCCATGGATGTGGGATCCTGCTGACTGCAAGTCTCTGCTTTCCAGGCATCAGCCTCCAGCCATCAGCCTCCAGCCATGCTTCTTGGCTGCCTCCCAGAAACTGCTTTTATTGCTGTTCTTTGTGCTCACTGCTTAGTCAATGTGCTTTACAGGCAGCAAGAGACGTGCTCCCTATCAGACACAGAAAAACAACCTGCCGTGGGCATGAGCAATGGGCACAACTCCCCCCCATCGCTGTCCCTGGGGCGTGCTCTGGCCTCCTGTCGGCAGCTAAATGTCAGCAACAGGTCCTTTCTGAGGGGCCATGGGAACCCAATCCCTCTGCATGGGTCAGATGTAACCACGGGAGCTAAATTGGAAGCTGCAGTAGTTGTGTATGGCTATCAGCTCTCTAGGTGGCATTTAAAGGCCTTAAGCAACTGCATGGGTTGGCTTTCAGAAGTTTTGCAAAGTCAGGGATATTTGGGATGGGAGTAGTTTTAATCTCAGACAAATTAGGGGATGTGGTCCTGCCTTTTCCTTTGAAAAGGAAACAAGATCCCGAGGGATAGCTGGAATCAGTACTCCATAGATCTTCAGGTACAGAATCTGTGGGAATACCTCAATTGAACAGAAGGAACTGAAAATGGGAAAGAAAAAAAAACTAAACCCAAAAGATTATGGTTCTTTTTGGGACCAGGAAACAAGGATTCACATGCAATTTGCAGTCCTGAAGATTGTTGTCCACCTGGATATGGCTGCATTGCCAGCACCAATTTATGGTGCATGTTGATTGATTCAGAACAAGACAGGGCTTGACTAGAAAGTCTGTCCACATCTGCTTTCTAAGTGAGCACATCCTGCATCTCAGAACTTCTACATTCATGAACTCTTCCAAGCCAACACTATTGTAAAGGGGGCAGAAATGAGAGAGCTGTGCTACTCTTCTCCTAACAGGGCAATCCTGGGAGTGAAACCTCTTGTAAAAGCAGCTGGGATGTTGTCTTGCTTACTGGTTGGTAAAAACTGGGCTTCGTGTTTCCATAGCGCAAGATTTGTAGAAGGTAAAAAATAAAAAAATAAAAAAAAAAAAGATGAGGTGCTATGTCTTGGTGTATCATAGAATTCCTTCAAGTCTGTGTTTTATTTCATGTCTAGATCAAAATATTACCTCTCGAGCCTGTGTGCGTGTGGCTTGGTTGCTGGGACACCTGCCAGCCAGGAATTGGGGATGCCTGGAATCATGTGCTCAGCAGGTGTAAACTGCGTGCAGGCAGAGTTCACCTTCTGTCCTCAGCCCCAGAGGCAGTTCCTCTTCATTAGTGAGGGAAGAAGATTATCGTTGCAACCTGACTGCATGCCAAAGTTATGTATCATAAGAAGAAAATCTGTTCATACATTCACAAATATGTTTTCTCCTGATCTGTCTATAGGAAAATGTCTTCGTGAGGGGAGAGAGAGAGGCAGTGATCGCAGAGAAGTTGAAAGGAAGCGACAGGCAGAAGCTGGACCTTTGCTGAGATTTCTTCAAGCAGGATGCATGGTAGGTCCCACTGCTGGGAAATAAAAGCACTGAGTCACAGCTGTGATTAAACATGGAGCAGCACTCCCATCGCTGGCTGCGGGTGTCAGCTATCACTCAGAACTACAAGTGTGTTGCCTCTTACCACATCTGCCACTTACCACCTGAACCAGGGCTGTGCTGCTGTATTGCTAGTGTTTAAATGTTTCTCCCCTTGCACCCAGCAGATAAAAGCTCTGCTGTCTTTTTGTGTCTGTATGTGTGTCTGGAAAGAGAAAGAGGCTCATTTTTTCTGTTAAAACGGAAGTAATGTGTTATCATCATAATTATGTCTTATTGTTTGCTGTTATGTAAAGATAACAAATCAGGGCTGAGTCACAGGAGCAAATGCAAAAATTACGTTTTTAAAAGAATAAGGTCACAGGCCACATGATTTGTTGCAGAACAAACACAATAATTAATTGGCCTCTCCCTGCAATGGTAGCACAGGCATCTCAACTACAGGAGAACCAGGAAATGGAAAACAGCAGTGTGCAGGAGTGCAGGAGGACCATTGGTATTATTCTGGGGCTTAGAGTGAGCTCTAATAAGAAATAAAAATGTCATGGGTAGAAAGAGAAGAAAGGCAATATCTTTAGAATTGCTGCTTTGACAATGCCAGTGTATATTTTCTGTTGTTTAAAGATTTTCATTGTGGGAAATGTTGGAAAAAATATATTTTAGAAAATTATTTGAAGTTTATTTTTCTCTACATACTCCAAAGGGAGAGATTACATGCAGAGTATGGAACAGAGAAAGCCTTTTGGAATTTGTGCTACTTTTTTTATTTCTCTGAGACAGTGATAGACCAGAACCAGCCCAGTGAATGCACACACGTGCCTTTTGTCCAGGCATTTTCTCCACTGCATTGGTTAGGGAAAAAAATCTTAGAAAACCTGTCCAAGGGCATATACAATCACTTTCAAAGCCTTACCCTGATATAACTGTAATCAATGAAAAAATGGCAGGATTGGACTCTCCTGTCCTCTTCTAATGTCCACTTCATTAGCACTGCTTGGTTAATGGTTTTGGCTCATTGCCATGTGAATCCTGTCTGGGACAGATGTTTTCAGGGTGTCCACAGATTTGCAAGGGACTTATGCAGTTCTCTAGCAATAGAAATCAATGGTTATGTTAGAAAAAAAAGTTATTTTAAATATCCACATATATCTTGTCAATTTGGGTTTGGTGACCTTTTGTAATCCAGCACTGTTGAGCTGAAAACAAAGGGAGGAAAATCCAGGAGTTCCCCTTTCTCTGGTATTTGAAGCACAGAAACATGACTGGATGTAAATGACTTCTGTTTGTGTCTGAAGCTTGTAGGATGGATAATGTGGCTCAGCTGCTTTTCTGCACTGCTTTTGACCACACTGCCATCCTCCAGCTTCCCCAGAATTTAAGACTGTACCTTTTTATCTACAGCAGTATTTTCCCCGCAGATTTTAATAATTAATTGGGACAAGCCTGGTGGGTCTGGAGATGAGCGCAAAAGAGGCAGCAGATCCGTGTGACCAAGTGACCTTTTGCTGTCCTGCCAGTCCCTGTGCTCTCCTGTGCTCAAAGGGACACTGTCAAAATTGCTAGCCCTTAGAGCTGTAACTTGCTCTGACAACTTGTTCTACATTATAAGTCTTACCTAAAAGATTACCACAATTGTTTTGTTTGTTTTGTTTCAACAGTCCTTGCTGAAGGCTCCGCAATGTAGATCCATTTGTCTTTTTAGGTAGGTAGATATTTTTAAGCACCCAACTTCCTCTCTGGCCTGTTAAAATCAAGCTGGTGTGCATGTTATTGTGCACAGCAGAGGCTGCCAGGGATGGTATAAATTTTCTGCACTCTGGAAACAGAGGCAATGGCACACTTTGGAAGCCTTTGTTTAAAAGGTTTTTAGAAGCCGTTTTGAAAGGCCTCCACAGTTATTTTGGGGCAGCAGTAAGTGTTGTCTGGACTTTCCTGGCAATATTAAGAATTAGGTACTGGTCTGTTAAGTGTAAGGAAGGGATGTCCAGATGATGTCCATGTTTCAGGTCAGCTTGAGTTATTAGGAATTAGTTCTACAGGAATTCCATTTAATACTGTTCAGCATGAAAATGTGGATCAGGGCAAATAGTCCAGCAGTCCAGTTTGCAGCATTGCACTTTCTTATTTTTATAGAGCAATACAGAGATGAATGCAACTCCAGTGTAATTGTGAGTGGTGCACAGCCATGCTGGCATCATGTGGCAAGAGCACGTATGGCCATATTTAACAGGGAAGAGGGAATGAACAATGTCCACCTACCACACTCCAGGTAACTCACACCCCCAGTTTTAAGCTTGATTTGAGCACTTTTACCACTTCCTTTCTGAAATTCTTTTCCTTGTTCCAAATGCACCTGTATCACCTGCACTTGAGATGCTCTTGATGGCCCTGAGCTACAGCACCATCCTCAGAGGCACACTGCAGAAGCAGCAGCAGTGCCCAGAGCACGTCACTCCCTCCCTGCAGCAGCAGAGCCACTAAGAAGGCACTGTGTCAAGCCTTAGCCACAAGCAGCCAGGTCAGAGCCCCTTTAAAGGTGACCTGGGATGGAAGGAAGTGCATTTGTCCCTTTTCGATGGATAAAAAGACCTAAGAAAATCCTTTCTTCCTATGTTTTTCCTTCTTTGTTTCTGCTGAAGGTCTATGGCGTCTCTTTAACTTCCAGAAGGATTTTTGAACTAAGCTGAAGTGGGTGATTTTCTAATCATTTTCTAATGTTACAGCTCTTGTAGCATTCTCTCCATTCAGCACTGTCCCACCTGCAGTCATCCTAAAGGGAAGTTAGGTATGAGCCTGTCACACTGCTTGAACAAGTACTTACAGAGCACGTTCTGGAGCAGTGCTCCAGCTCCAGTGTGTCCAAATCCCCTCCTTCACCGAGCTGTCTGTAATCCTTCAGCCAGCAAACAGGGATGTTCTGAGCGGATGCAGAGCACTGTGATGCACATGGGAAGTGATTCTCGTGGCTGCAAACTGCGAGTGCAGGGGCTGGTTTCACTTTCACTCTGGAAATGGCATGGGGTTGGTAACGCTTTGTTGATCGTCTGTAAAATCTTTCTCCACATATAGTAAAATAGGAAGTTAAACTCTTCCCAATGTGAGCATTTTCCACCTCTAGCTTCTTTTGGGATTTCATGTTCTGGAAAAAGTGTTTCAGGGCTGACTGTAGATATTGTAAGCATAGCCTAAGTAAGAATTACTACCTGATGCTTTTGCTCTGTTACTTTCTGCCAGTGTAAAATGAGAGGTTGCAGTCTGGGAGAACAAGGAGCTGTGATGGCATTGCACTGCACTGCTGCCTTGGCTGACATTGTTACATCACTGTGCAGGCACTCCTGCACCATTACCCACTGCTGCCCTGCATGCCACTGGATATCAGTGCCTGTGGGCTGTGTGCCTCAGCAGGGCTGTGCTTAGCAGAGAGCTGTGCCTCTGCTGGTGGCCTCCTCTGGCAGTGTCCTCCCAGCACTGAAAGGTACAAGAATAAACTTAGCCTGAATGTTGTTAAAATTAGGGGATGATGAGTTCATTAGAGAAAGTTACGGGGTTTTTAATCTGTTGGGGGAAAATATGTATACGAATGTTGCCAGTTTTCTAAAAACATTTTCTCCTGGAGGTGATGGCCAAGAAGGAAATGGCAGCAGAAACTCAACGTTTGAGATGTTGTAGGACAGAGGAGGAAGACAGCACAGCAAGTCGTGCATTGGTGGTTCAGTGGTAGAATTCTCGCCTGCCACGCGGGAGGCCCGGGTTCGATTCCCGGCCAATGCAACCGAAGCTTTTTCTTTTCTCTCTTTTATTTTTTTTTCCTTTTGAAGGCTTTATTTATTTACTCGCTTGTCTTTCATTTCGACAAAAAGCAGTTCGCGTTTTAAGGTCGGAGAAGCTGCAGCGGCGCACTGCTTGACCGGCCCCCCGAAGGACTCGCCTCAGGCGCATAGCGGCGCTGTGGGGCGGGGCCGCGCCAATCGCGGCAGCGGGAGCGTCCCGCAGCTGGAGAGAAAGAAAAAAACATTTCGAAGCGAAAAGAAGCCGCTGGAGATGCCGGGGATTGAACCCGGGACCTCACACATGCGAAGCGCGCGCTCTACCACTGAGCTACATCCCCGGCTACAGCGAAACTACTGCGGGGCGCTATGAGAGGGCGGGCCGGCGCGCGGGGCCGGGCGGAACCCAGCGGGAGGAGTGCACTGCGGTCAGCTCGGCCCCTCGCCCGGCCCCGCCCGCCCTTGTCCCCGGGCTTCCCGCCGCCCCGCTCCGCGCCCGCGCCCCGTGGAGGCTCCCGACGGGCGCTGTCCTCGGGGCTTCCGGGCGCTTGGCCACAACGTTCCGCTCTTTGCTGCGCAGTGCATTCCGGCCCGGCTCCCCTTCGTGCTGCCTGCGGTGGTCCCGTGCGTTAGCGCGTGCAGCTGTCAGCGTGTCTGCAGTCCCAGATTTCCCACACAGGGTGCTCCCTCACCCCTACCGAAAAGTTGTTCTTCCACACGTTAGTATGAAGCTCCCTACGTCCAGGTTTTAGGCCGTCACTCCTTGTCCTATTGCTACACACCACCGAGAAGAGCCCGGCTCATCCTTTTGCCTCCCACCTCCCTTTAGATATTCATTAACACGAATCAGGTCCCATCTCAGCCTCCTTTGCCCCAGGCTGAACAGCCCCAGGTCTCTCAGCCTTTCCTCGTAGGGAAGATGCTCCGGGCCTTTTATCATCTTTGTGGCCCTTTGCTGGACTCCTTCCAGGAGATCCCTGCCTTTTTCCCCACGTTACACAAAGCAGATCCGATGTGCGGTTGGTCTTAAAGCAAAGCAACGTCTCTACTGCAGCTAGATCTAAATATCCTCCAGAGCACCACCCACCAAATGCAGCATCAATCGAATTATTCAGGAAAGGCTCGACGTGTGCATCCTACAGGAGGAAATAAGATGCCTTGCGCTGAGCTATGAAGTAAAACAGAAGGAGTCCTTTATGGACGTGGATCTCCCCAGGCCTACCAACACTGCCAGCAGCGCCACAGGGCCAGCAGTGCCCCCGCACACAGCCCTGCTGCCGACAGCTGCCTGCAGCCCCTGCTTCCAGGAAACACTCGGTCATCCCATGCGGTTTCTAATTCTGCTGGGTGCCCTGGCACAGGCCCAGCATTCAGCTCTCTCAAGGGCCCTCTCATAGCGCTACATTCACCTCTTTGTGTTTGGGTTTCTTTGCTGACATCAGGGAAAAACAATGTCGCCGTTCTCAGCCGTCCCCCCGCTTGTTCCTCAGCGGCATTAACTCGTTCCTGTAGCCCAGTGGCGGTGCTGTGTGCGGCAGGACCTGCCTGCTCCCGGAGGATGCCATTTCACTGCACCTCTTCACAGCTCTGCATTTTCCATCAATTCTAGTTAGACACACACTGACATTCACTCTGTATTTCCCGCAGCCATTTTTCCCCTGATGGAGCTGATGGACCCCTGTCATTCAGCCCAAAAAGAGCCCAGTTCCAAAGTCACCCGAAGCGCGGGCTGCTCGAGTGACTCCAACACAACTGTGGGAGAGGGGCGGTTCTTTCTGGCACAGTTGCCAATGACTGTGCTTGCTGCCAGGATCAAATGTTTGCACTCAGAAGTCCTTTTTAAAATAGACACGTTGGTTCGATGAAAGACAGGGTTAAAATGCAGCAGCATAAGACAAACATACAAAGAGTGCTCATCTCATCGGTGCTATGTGCCATCCCCATACAGCTGCAGGCTGGCCAGGCCCAAACGAGCTCTGGGGATGTGCCTTCATCCTGGGAACCAAAGCACTGTGTGCACTGTCTCCTAAAAGCCTTGAGCTATCGCTAGATCCTGTGCTAATGGCACCAGGCATTGATAAATATGCAGCTAACGTTATTTTTCTTCTACCATATGATCACACTGTCCACTCGTTTTCAAGCACTCGGGTGATTATTCACGGATCTCTTGCATTATTGATGCCTTATTTAGCATTCCTGTCCTCCTGCAGAAAACACTCCGTCAGAGATCAGAAAGATGTAACCGAAGTGACAAATCTCAGGGCTCAGGAACACCGCCTGCTTACTTATGGCACTCACCAAACCATCTTTCAATAATAAATGTGTTGGGAAAAAGAAATGAGGACAGATTTGTGATTTGCTGTTAAACAGCTATAAAATTTTCCAACTTTTGCACTTAGCAAATTGTTCCTACCTGATCAGAGAACGCAGTGCTCAGAGCTGCACTCAGGCAGTTCTGCACGTGTGTTAGGCTGCTTTTCAACCAAGTTGCACTCATGATTCCTCCAAATACAAATCACTCTTTCTCCTTTATTTTTATAGCTTTTCTTTTTGTTAAGTCCCTGATTTTCCTGCCTGAAACAGAGGAATTCCGTTCCAGGAGCTCTGTTGTTGGTCTCCAGGCATTCAGTATGTGCCACAGAACCTCTGTGCTCACCTGGCTTTGGTTATTCCCACTGAATAGTAGGAACTGTGAAAGTTAGAGTGAAAAAAAGGAGATTAAAAGGCAGAAAATGGGATTAAAGCCGCGAGCTGGGAGATTCATTGGGGTTGTAGGCAGAGAAGTGATAGCCCCGCAGAAATTATTTGGCTGACAAACTAATTACCCAATGTTACAGTGGTTTTCTCATCCGAATTCAGCCCTTGGGAAGCAGCATTCAGTGAGAAGAACCTCAGCTGTACTCCAGTGTAGTCAGAGGGGGACGTGAGCAGTCCAGGATCTGGTGCAAACAGGAACTGGTTGTAAAACTCAGACAGAGGGGCTGCAGCAACCACACACCTTCGCACAGATTATCAAGCTGATGCATCCAGACTGCTAAAGGCAGCTCACAGTGCTGCCCGTGAGGCCAGGACAGAGGCTGCTCGGTCAGCCAGCATGGCACGGCCCTTCATGTTTTGTGCAGGGAATGCCCAGCTACAACCCTGGAAAATGCCACAGCCCTGCAAAAGTGCCCCGCTGTTGTTATGGTTGAGCACTGACCTCTTCTATGAGCCTTCTCGCTCCATGGCCGCAGTTCTCACTGTGTCCCAGCATGCAGAAGTGGAACACGGAAGGAAAAAAAATATATTTATTTCAGTTTGTTTGCTAAGTGTCATGTTTTTAAGGAGGAGATAGTCGGAATTTCTTCTTGGAACAGGAATTCTTTGTCGTTCCTGGAGGAGGTTTGGAAATATAGATATGTGTCTGCATTGAATCCCATCACCTTCTGCTGGTAAGTAGCATACAATATGCTTATACAGCCACGATATCATTACAAGCATTAGCTAAGTTCTTTTCTGGTGATCTGGCATTGCACAGCAAGAAGGCAAAGCTCCTGTTCATCGTCTGAGGTCAAACATCACTCTGAGTTCAGACGGCTGCAGAGCACTGCAGCTTCCTGCGCTCCATGGTCTCAAGATGGGAATCTCTTGCTTTGCTCTTCCTCCTGTTCTTCAGCTTGTGCCTGGAATCCAGAACAGAACTACTGCTATTATTATGGTTTTCAGAAAAAAGTGGAGGAGGTAAATATCTTGGGAGTAAATCATTTTTAATCAATTTTGAGGTGTGTAGGTCTTTAAGCTCATAAAATCGTGCAGTCAAACTGACCTGGAGATGTAGCCTCGTATTAACAACGCTCCTTTTGCACTTCATAATGATTGTTCATCACTGCTGATTGCAGCAGCCAACAATTTCTTTGGCGTGCGATGCTGACTTTGAATATCACTAAAAGCTTTGATTCCCACATGGACAGAAAATGATGTTCAGCTGACGGTGGGTCTCTGTCCCACTCCTCTGTCTGCTCTCCTACTGCCAGGCAGCCACGGTGCAGCACGGGACCCTAAAAATAACTGCAGAAAAGCAACATCCACTGACAGACAAGGAGTTGTTGACTGAACTGAGCAAAGCAGAAGTCTCGGTGGCAGTGGATGTGAGGAGCAGGGATAGGTGGGAGCTGCTGGGACGGAGCTGACTGCTGCTGCCAAGTGAGCACACTCATACTGGGGCAGCTGTTAACCCCATGGCAGAGCAGAGTGTGTCAAAGCAGTTCCCTGAAGTTACGCTCCCTGTCCTGGTATGATGCTAAAATTACACAGAAACAGAAAGTTGTAACAGAAAAAAATGTT